CCTCTCCTCTTCTCTTCTTTTCTTTTAATATGAATGCTGGAAGTTCAAACTCAGATAGGTCATCATGTCTTCATGGTTTCAGAGCACCAGGCCACTTCTTCCACCCCCTTTAAGGCTCTTTTTAAATGATTCCGTTATCATCATTAATTGGATCTTCAGATTCTCCTTTCTTTTGATGCCAGGGCTCAGAGTGAATGACATCTCTGTTTCTTTTCTAGTCTGCGAAACTGGTGTCTGTTTTAATAAAGGCTCTGGAAATTACAAAGTAAGTATAAAGGCTTCTCCTTACATGGCTTAAGGATGAAATCGTCTGCCCAGCTCCTCTCAAGAACTAACCCCATTTCAGGAGTAGCATAGGGAGCCTCGGGTGTGGGTAGGGGTGGGGCAGATGAGGAGGAATCCCTTCTTACTGTAGTTTCTTCTCTGTGCCTCCTGGGAATGCTTTTCCATTCACACGGCGTTAACTCGTTTGTTTGTTTGTTTGTTTGTTTGTTTGTTTTTGTTTTTCTGTTCTATTCCAGAGCAAGTCACGTGAGCCCCCAGCCAGGAGACAGCTGGATCCCTTTACTCATCAATGCCGTTGACCATTGCATGAACAGAGTTAAGGAGCTCACTCAGCGTGCCGCTGAATTATGACCATTGCATGAACAGAGTTAAGGAGCTCACTCAGCGTGCCGCTGAATTATGAGCCTCCAGTCCTACTCTTCTTTCTCCTCTCTTGCTCCAGTGTCCGCTTTACTTATTTATTCTTAAGGTTTTTCAGTGTCTGCTTTTGGAAGTGGAGCTGTGATGGGGTGTTTGCTGGATAGAAGGAAGCTTCTGTTTTTAAGAAGAGATTGCTATCAAGATTCTAGGCTAGGAGAGATTGCAGTTATCTATAAATCATATAATGTGATATGCTTCTGTGCTAGACACAAATTTGTATAAACCTGTGCTCTGAGTTTTTTGGAAATTCTTAAGTTGTCTTGTTCTCTAGCTTACAGTAAAGCATATTGTTTTATTAAGATTTTGATGATCTCAATAAAATGCTAACCTATGTGATTAAATGTGTCATTTAATGTGTCTTCTGAAGTGTCATTTAAATCTTCTATTGTGAGCCAGGCATGTTGGCATACACCTTTAATCCTAGCACTAGGGTGGCAGAGGCAGGTAGATTTCTGAGTTCAATGCCAGCCTAGTCTGCATAGTATATTCCAGGACAGCCAGAGACCTACACAGAGAGATGCTGTCTCAAAAAGAATTTAAAAAAAAAAGGGACTGGAGTGGTGGCTCAGTGGTTAGTACTGTGTATGCTAATATGCTAGTTATGTGATGAGTGGAAAAGAAAAATCTGAGACTAAGGTTAGCATTGGGTTGATAGAAGGCTATCATAAGGCTGAGGTAGATTGAAAAGACAGAGGTAAAGATACGCAATCATACAAGACAACAGTTTCCTCTCTCAGGAGACTAGGCAACAGAGACCTGCAAATCAGTTCAGTCTGTTCTTTGGAAGAGGAAAATAAAGGAAAGAGGAAGAGAGAAACATGACCCAGGGCAATAACAGAACAGGAACAAGGTGGCATGCTAACCTGACAGGGAGGAGAAAGAGATCTGGATGAGGATATAAGCTATGAAACTGGCCTCATAACCAGATTCAGCCCCTGGGAGTTCCACCATTATACTCTGGTTCTCTCCTGGTATGACTTTGAATAACTGGATTACAGATGCTAGTCCAGCCTGTGCTTTATGGGAGGAGTCTCAGCCGCTGGTACAACTCTGCCTGCCTTCAGCTTTCTGGTTGTGAATGCTGGCCCTGCCCTCTGCTGTCCACACCGCGCTGCTCTCAACACAGTCCATGCAGCTTGGGGTGTGTTGCTCAAATCGCAATGCTTCATATGCTGAGTTCTGCCACATACGTTTTCTAGAGTTTCAGTGCATCCCTGGCTTTGTGGGGCACTAGGAGGAGGCGGAGGAGGATGAGCTTTCACAAATTTAGGGTCCTGTGGGTTGTGGTGCTGCCCTCTGCTGGTGGGTTCAGGCAGTGTTCAGCCTTTCCCAAGCTTTCCTCATTATCCTGCATCCACTTGCTTGCTCCTCTGGGCAGTGGAAGTGAAGAGGGAAATGGTGGAAATCTTGGTTTCACATCCCTTTAGTTGTAGAACATGTTTGTGGCTTGCTGTGGTTAAATTTCCCCTTCAGTATGAGTTCAGCTTCTGATTTGGGTTTCCAGCAGTGGGACCCCCACAGGCTCAGAGACCCTCGGGGCATTTTCCTGCTGGTGAGATGGGGGAAGGGGGCTGGGAATGGGAAGGGTGAGGGAGTGGGGGAAGGTTCAGCTGTGCACTCATCAACAGGCTTCTAAGCACAAAAAAATCTTAGTCTTTATATTTCTTATTTCTGCATTCTGTAGTCTGTTCTCTGGCCTCTCCTGTTTCTACTGTCTTGGATTTCTTCTACCTACACTCCTAGTCACCCAGATGTAGTTTCTGAGATCATAAGAGACCCATTCTCAAGTTTTGTTCTACCAGAAATACAGTCTGTTGAGACTAGAATGTTGTTTTCATTTGAGTTTATAGTCTGTGAGGTCTGACTCTGCACAGAAGTGCATTTAAAGGAAAGTACTGATTTTCATAAACAGAGATGACCACAAAGACCCTCTTGGTGCTCACACATATTCTGTTATTTACAACAGTAAGTCCTTCTGAGTGCTATCCTGGTCACTCTATGCCTCAGAAGACTTGGGTATTGAGCTCTTGTCTTTCTTACTGTTCTACTGCTGTGAAGAGACAACAAGACCAAGGCAAATTATAGAAGAGGGCTTACTCACAGCTTCAGAGCTGTGACGAACATCACAACCAAAAAAGCAAGTTGAGGAGGAAAGGATTTATTTGACTTACACTTACTTCCACATTGCAGTTCATCATTGAAGGAAGTCAGGACAGGAACTCAAGCAGAGCTGGAGCCTGGATACAGGAGCTGATGCTGAGGCCACAGAGGAGTGCTGCTTGCTTGCTTGCTCCCCACGGCTTGCTCAGCCTGCTTTTCCTATGGAAGCACAGACATGGCACCACCTACATGAGCTAAGCCCTCCCCCATCAATTACTAATTACAAAAATGCCTTACAGCTGGATCTTATGAAGACATTTTCTCAGTTGAGGTTTCTTCCTTTCAAATAACTGTAGCTTCTGTCAAGTTGGCAAAGAGCTAGCCAGCATAATTGACCTCTTGTCAACTTGACACACACACACATCACTGTTAAGCCATAACCTTTCCTATTTTTGGTTCATCCCCAAGATCTCAGATTAATAAATATCATTTTGGTGGATTGAATGAAAATGGCCCCCATAGGCCTATAGGCAGTGGCACTATTAGGAGTTGTGGTCTAGTTGGAGGAAGTTGTCACAGGAGGTGGGTTTTGACGTTTCAGATACTCAAACCAGGCCTAGTTATCACTCTCTTCCTGCTGCCTACAGATCCAGCTGAGATCCAACTCTCAGCTCCTTCTCCAGCACCATGTCTGCCTCAATACTACCTCCCCTCCATGACGACAGTGGACTAACTCTGAAACTGTAAGCCAGCCCCAGTTAAATGCTTTCCTAAGAGTTGCCATGATCATGTCTCTTGATGCAATAATAGAACACTGACTAAGACAATCACAAATAGGTAACACATTACAAACTTGAAAGTCCCACAGTCTTTACCAATTCAAACACTTTAAAAGTTCAGTCTCTTTGAAAATCAAAGCGTATTTTAAAACTTAAAATCTCTTTTAAAATTTAGTTTCTAAACTGTGGGCTCCTGTAAAATAAAAAAATAAGTTAAATACTTCCTTATTTCAAGAGGAAAGAACTAGGGTACAGTCACAAGCTGAACAAAGCAAAACCACACTCCATCAGTGTAACTCAATGTCTGATATCTGGGATTTACTCATGATTTGAGTTCAGGGACTCTAACCCCGCCACAAAGCATCAAGTCTCAGCTGCTCCCCATGACCCATTCACACCTTCAAACCCAGCACCACTTGGGTAACTTACATCACCAAGTTCGGCTGCCAGCACAAGGCTTAAGTTTGGCTGCCTCTAGAACACAGCTTCTGTGTGCCGACTCTGAGGAACCATTTCCCAGAAGACTTCATTCCAAGGATGCTGGTCTCTTCTTAACAGCTGACTCTTCAGCCCCAGCTGACCAGCATCTATTGTCCCAGCAAAGCAAAGGTTTTACTTCAGTGGCTCCTATCTTTTGTTAATCAGGGCCAATTCTTCAGCTCCTGCTGACCAGACACAACAGACTTCTTCACAAAATGATCTAGTGGAGTTTTTACTTCCCTTTGAACGTTCACAAGCCAGATCTCCACTGTCTTCATTGTTTTCAATACTCTTGTCTTCCAGGCTCCTACAGAACATCCCACTGAGCACTCAACACTCAATGACTTTTCTAGCCCAAAGTTCCAAAGTCCTTCCATAATCCTCCCAAAATCAACAAGGTCTGGTCTGTCACAGCAATAACCCACTCTCCTGGTACCAATTTCTGTCTTAGTAAGTGTTCTATTGCTGTGAAGAAACACCATGACTATACCACCTCTTATAAGAGAAAGCATTAAGTTGTGGCTTGCTTACAGTTTCAGAGGTTTAGTCTATTGTCATCATGGCAAGGAGCCTAGCAGCATCCAGGCAGACATAGCACTGGAGAAGTAGCTGAGAGTTCCACATCTAAGTCTACAGACTGCAGGAAGAGAGACACTAGGCCTGGCTTGGGCTTTTGAAACTTCACCCCCTAGCAACTCAATTCCTCTAACAAGGCCACACCTCCCAATCCTTCTCAAACAGTTCCACTAACTAGGGACCAAGAATTTTAACTTATGAACCTATAGGGAACATTCTTAATCAAACCATGACAAGCTCATTTGTTAGTTTGGTCCACTTTATTAAAAATATTTGTTTTCTTTATACATGCCTATTTTGACATTGTTTAATATAACATGTATTCTCAAATGTAAACACCACATTTTATAAAGCAAAAAATGCATACGAGTTTTTATAATTTAGACAGACATTTTGAGACATTGTTTCCAACTACATTGCTATGAAATTATGTTGTGTGCGTCTAGAACAGCAGTTTTCAACCACTGGATCTCAACCAGTGGATCTCCAGCCCCTTTGGTGGACATATGTCATTTATCCTGAATATCAGATATTTGCATTATGATTCTAACAATAGCTAAATTATAATTATGAAGTTGCAACAAAATAATTTTATGGTTGGGGGTCACCACAACACGAGGAACTGTACTAATGGGTATCAGCATTGGGAAGGTTGAGAACCACTTCTCTAGAAGATCATGTGCTGGAAAGCAGGTTAAAGCTGCAGTGGGCTGTGGAGTGTGACCTGAATAAGGTCCCCACATACACCAACACTCATGAAGGTCTAGCTATAGATAAGTTTAGACTATTCTTTCAGGTTCTATGTTATGTGTTATAATAGCTTTATCCATTTATCTTTGGATCTTTTACAATAACCAACAGGGAAAGTATTAATCGATGTAATTTTAGTATTACATAAAAATTCTATTTTTAGTCAATATTGTCCTATGTCATCAGAAATAAATTGATTTAAATATTAAGTTGTCTTTCATTCCTGTAAGTTAATGGATATGTTAATGAGCAATAAACATCTGAACACCCCAAAATCTGAATGTACTCTGAAAATTAGTCCAATACTCATTGTACTTTGAGAAGTTATCTGAGTGTCTTTTCAAAAGCTTGTTTTATGTAGAGCAGTTAGTTCTAAGACAAACAGTGTTTCTGACTGCCTTAGGTTGGCTTAATACAAATGGATTTTGGAGTCAGGTAGTGGTGGTACACGCCTTTAATTCCAGTACTTGGGAGGCAGAGGCAGGTGGATCTCTGAGTTCAAGGCCAGCCTGATCTTCAGAGTGAGTTCCAGAACCAACAGGACTACATAGAGAAACCCTGTCTCAAAAATAGCAATCAACAAACCAACCAACCAAATAACCAAAAAACAAGAAAAAAAATGGATTTTGGTTTTTGTGAATCTAGCTTGAT